TTAAGGTTGGTGGCAATAAACAGTTCTCAAAAATGCCATTAAGAAAAGAAAGAGTAAGAAAGCAACTGGAAAGAACAGCTGGATGAATATGAAGATGGGCAGGGGTACAAAGGGGAAGGGTTCATCTAATAAGGACAAGATGAATATAAAGATAAACGAGTGTCAAAATGAGAGAGATGATTATACAGACACAGCAGAAATAGTGGGGTTAAGTGAGAGCAGGAACTCTGTAGTACAAATTATGATAGAAATCACCTCAAATTCAAATTAAGAGAAGGAAAAGTCAGCTCATGGAAAAAAGTGCTCAGACTCTTCTGAAGGACATATAGCTGATTTTATGCACATCAGAAAGAAAATTTGACCCTCACCTTTTTTCTTTTTGGTTATAGAAGTTTGTTTTTTAATTCAAATGTAGTTGATGTACAGTATTGTATGAGTTACAGGTGTGCAGTAAAGTGACTTGGCTATACATATATATGTATTTATCTAATTCTTTCTCTTTTCTTTTCCATTATAGTTTTTTGTGAGATACTGAATATAGTTCCCTATGGAAGTTAGTTTTAACTTGAAGTTATTTCTTTTTTTTTAGAAATCCTCACATTTAAATTAATGAAGTGATGTCTTAGATTTAATCTAGCAAATTTTGTCTCTCCATTCCGTCCCCAGTAACTGAGTTCTAGTTTTCCATGTGGCTTATCATGCTGTTTCACACCTCGACCTTCGGCTCAGGCTGCCCTTTTTAGAACCCCCTTCACATCTGCTCTTTGCACTGGGTCTGTCTTTTAAGACACAGTCTGGTCTTCCCAGCATTCCCTGAGCTATTGACATGCAGCAAGTCTCTTCTCTCCTTTGTGCCCTTACTGTATCTGTTCCCTGCAGGTGTAGAGCTGTTCAATGATACTTGTCTGTGTTGATTGATTTTCATGTGTCTCTACCTCCCCTAGAATATAGAGCAGAATCTGTCCTTTATATATATTGCCAGCTTCTCCCAGGATAATGCCTATGATCTGATGGATACAGTAAATACATGTTGTCTTCCTGACTGACTGATTGAATGACCAAGTGTAGGAATATGATGTTTTCTGATGTTGGGTTTTTGTTACATTGTGTTTTGTTTTTATAGGAAGAGGCAACAAAGCCAAAAACTGGGGGAAAAGAGAACGGCACTCGGGCAATTAGCGGTGTTCTAAAGGAGAAGGCAGATCAGAGCAAGTTGATTTCTACTGACGGAGCACACAAAAGTGACAGAGGTGGGAAGTCAGGGAGCATCTATGGGCTTTCTTCTCTGCTTAAAAGCTATTGTGGTTGGAGGGGGGAGGGTATAGCTCAGTGGGAGAGCACACGGTTAGCATGCACGAGGTCCTGGGTTCAATTCCCGGTACCTCCGTTAAAAAAAAAAAGTCGTGTAAAAAATCTGAAGTGTGTAGATCCAAATCTGATATCCATTTCTTCTTAAGTGTTTTTCTTTTGCCATCTTCCTTCATAAATATCCCGACTACGACCAAGTTTTCTTCCAGAAAATGCTTCAACCCTCTGAAATTCTTTTCTGCCACTTTAATTTATTGACGTATTCATGAATCGAGATAGACACATATATATTTAAACTTCCCAGTGGTATGTGTTCTCATC